AGGGTTTTCAACGTATTTAAGTTTAAGTTACCGCATTTTGAGCACTTTATTAGCCTCCGTCATCTAGAACCTCTTGGGAGAAACCCTAGCCTTCTCCTTCAAGATTTGAGCTTCTCATCTCTCATCTCTCCTCTTTTGGATGATTTCCATGATATTTTGATGAAATAAGAAGATCAAGAAGGTAATTTTACTTTCAAGGAATTATGCTTCATTTTTGGATCCATCAAACGCACTACATTTCTAGACTATTGTGAGTATAAAGTTCCGATCTTGCTATCTAGCTCATTAGATCTTATCATTTGGGGGGTTTTGGCGCTTTTGGTCCTTTTTATGAGTGATCTTGGATTTGAATGGACTCCAACATATTTTGGTCATTTTAGAATATTTCTTGGACCCCATCGACTAGGAAAGTTATAATCTTTTGCCTTCCCTTTTAGTCGTACAAGTTATCTTGGTCCTTTAGGCCATTTTGGTGTATTAAAGTTTAGATCTTAAATGTTTAGGACATTATTATGGCTAAATTTGGAAACTTTATCCCTCTTAACATCTTGTTGATTCATATAAGGAAGTTGGAGACTTGGACTTAATGGATTAAGTTAGAAAAGATGCATTTTGGGTCCCTTTGAGACTTAAAATCTAAATCTTGATGGTTTGGACCTTCCTAATGGATAAATTTAGAAACTTTATCCATTAAGACCTTGGAAATGATTAGATTTGAGCTTTGGAGCTCTTGAAATCAGAAGAAAATGGATTAAGCACGTTGAGCGGTCAATACCAGTCTCCATGGCGTGGCTTTAGGCTATCACGACATGGAAACTGGGGGATTAGCGATTATTTTGGCATTTCGTGCCCATGGCATGGCCAAGGAAGGCCACAACATGCAAGGCTACTGATTGGCAATTTTACTTTGACTTTGACCGTTGACTTGTTGGCCAGTTTGAATTTTGGTCAAACTTAAGTATAATCGAGTATTTTACAATGAATTTGGTTTTAGGAAGTTTGGGTTGGTTGTTCTGATGTTGAGGTAGTTGTGGGATTCTATTGAGTAGTTCATGTGAGTCTTCTCATTGTACATGTGGGTCGAGGGCATCAATGTCGGCCTACTAGATTATGTATGTAGGATGTTACTTGTATTTGTGACTCTTGCATGTTTGTATGATTGGGTTGCAATAAACCCTAGGGCTAAGCCCATTGTTGTATGTTCGGCTTGAAATAAACCCAAGGGCTAGGCCCTAGGGGCTAGGACCATGAGTATATGATGGGTTGAAAGAAACCCCAGGGTTTAGCCCATGATTGTATGTTGGGTTGAAAGAAATCGTGGGACTAGGCCCATGATTGTATGTTAGGTTGGAATATACCATAGGGCTAGGCCCAATGATATGTATGGTATGTGATATTTTGGGTATCTCATTAAGCTTTGTGCTTACGATTTGTGTTTAAATGTTCTCAGGTACTTTTGGTTTCAAAAGGAGAGTCTGACTTGATCATACAGCATCCCATGAAGATTTTATTACGCAATGATTGTTTATGATTTTACTCTGATGTTTTGAGAGTATTTTTACTCTGATCGTCTTTTGGGATAATGAATGAATGATTTTTTTCTTATTTAAAATGAAAATTTCACTTGGTATTTTTGGGGTGTTTCATTATTTTATGGCTCTTGTTTGATATATTACTTTTGGGTAGGAACAACTATTCGACCGTCTATCTTATTTCCCGACTACATATGACTACGCATTTATAAAGTGACACCTTAATATTAGCAGTAGTATCGGTATGTTTGTATGAAAGACTATAATTAGACTATACCAGTTGTATGAAAGATTGCAGTTGGACTATAATATACGAGACTGTAGTTAGACTATAGCAATTAACTATAATTAGACTATAGCAGTCAAAATTATAGTTAGACTATAAAAGTCAAGACTATAATTAGACTATAACAATTAAGACTATAGTAATCACACATGGATGTAAGACTTTGGTCGGACTTTCTTTAAAAAAAAGACTTTGGTTGGATTATAACAACTACACAAGTATTGTGATGTATGTGATATCTTGATGAGTTCATCAAACTTTTTGATTATTCATTAAATTATTTTAAATGTTTTCAGTTTACTCTAGTAGCCAGGAGAATGGTGTGGCTTCACTGTACACATGCATTGACATTTTGATTTGATAGAGATTTTCGATGGATTTTATTATTGTTGTGATTCGATATGATGTATTATGGTTTTGTATGATTTGATGTTTATCATGTTTTTGAGAAATGATTTTGGTTGATAAATTTTATTTTATTTAAATATAAAAATTTTGGATTGAATATTTGGAATGTTACGTTTTATTATACTCATGTAGCATAACAAATTGTGCAATTATAGAAGTTTTGAAGTTTGACATCAAATTGTTTCTTACAAACATCTTTCTTACAAGATCATAAATTCATGAAGAGTCTGATTATTAAATTTTATACGAAGCCATTAAAAAATCGGTTTTATAAAGTTACAATTTTTTTGTCAAATTTCTGATTTTAAACGCTATGAAGTATTTTTCATAAACCCTTGCCAAAAATCTCTTTCATACATAGTTTTGCATTATATGAAGATTCGTTTGACAGGGTGCATAAAACCCATATTTTTAATACATTCTTCGAGCATATTTACATTCTTTAATAATGAGTTTCTCGATTCTAACCTGTATGAGGAATGACGAACTCATCATCATCCAATGTTAATGGGTTATCAGAAATATTCATGAATTTTGACCGACAATTTTCCCGCAACCTAAAACTCGACCTTCAACGATCCATTCTTCTTCCTTCTCTCAAAAATTATAAGTTTTCTCTGTTATTGTCGCCGATCATAATTCTTTTATAGTGAGAATTGTTCTGAGACTATCCCGCTTTATGATTATATATGTCGCTTCAATAACATTCGACATATGTTTATAATCAACATGTTTGATTTGATTCTTTAGAAACCATAACTTTAGCGTATTTCAGTTGAAAGAATGTATTGTAATGATAGACGTGTAATCCTAAATATCGTGTCATTTCCTTATTCACTTTTAACTAAAATGTTAATAACACCCATATAATTCGTTTGGTTGAGAAATTTTTTTATTTCATCGTAACCTTTTTTTTTCTTTTTTTAAATTTACCATCATAAGTCATAAGTAATTTTTTTTTTAAAATACAATCACAAAATATTTATACTTCATGTTTAATCTTATATATAATGTACATATAATACGATAAAATAAAATAAAGTAAAAGTTATGGGTATAAAAAAATTAGAAGAATATAAGTTGCGCTTAATTTGGTTGTGTGTTTTGGAAAAGAAAACCAAGATAAAAGGAAAGCGATCCAGAAAAGGAGGAGGGGTGATGACCGGGCAGGAGTGCATCTCCGCCGCCTGTTGGTCGTGAAAGACCACCACGCGCAACCCGCCCTTCCATATATATATCCCTGCACTGCACACATGTCTTTGCTTTAGGTATACACACCCTGCTGCAGAGAGTATATCATCTGCCACACAATCCACACTTTTTACTATACCTTCGTCTCGTCAAATTAATCAAATTATACACATCTTTTCTTTATCATATTCTCAGCATATACATGTGCCCGTAAATCATTAGATTCTTCTAGGTTATCTATCATTAAAAATTATAATAAAAATATTAATAATGGTGTATGAGTAAGGAAAAAAGGATAGACATTGAACTTGTGTATACGTTGGCATGTGGTTGCTGCACGTTTGGCATGAAAATAGTACACATAAAGATAAAAGGTAGACCTCCGACAACAAGGACATACGCAGCCACCTGCACATATATATATATATATATATATATATATATATATATATATATATATATATATATATATATATATATATATATATATATATATATATATATATATATGTATGTATGTGTGTGTGTTTGTACATGTTTAAATTAGACATGAGAAAGCAACGTAGCACCAACTTTATACAGTCTAAGCTATTTTGCCTCCTTGTTATCATACAATCAAACATTAATTTGTTAATTTTCATATACTCCTACTCCCTATAATTATGTTGTCTTGTCTCATTCCTAGAACCCCCAAAATACCCCTAGGTATTTCTATTTTTAACCTTTTTCTACAAAAATAATAATCAAAAAAATAAATTAGAATAAAAATCTTAGTCGCTCGAGTGTATACATGAAAACATCGAATTTGATGTTCTGATGTAAAAATCATCTCCTACTAAAATATTGGAAACTAGTGTAAGTTTTGGAGTGATATTATGCATCTTCTCAAATTATACCAAGTAAATCATTAGAAATGTTGCACTGAAATCTTTAAAATGGGTTTAGTTTATAGTTAGTATTTATGTGTAAGTGTTGCTACTAGATTATTGTATGAGATAAAATTTTAATAATTAAAAAATAAAATGAAAGATACGTAAATGTAACGTTAATAAAGTACATTACTGATTAAAAGTAAATGATATGGCTGACTTTGAACTATAATCATCTTAAAAAATCACAATTGAACTTAGAAAATAACAATGAAATGAAAGCATAATCTATTACAAACAAATTTAAAAAAATAAATACAAGTAAATCAATAGCTTTTTTCTGTTAATAACTTTGACTTTAGTTTATTATTTTTCTACCAGAAAGAGGTATATGTTTATTTAAAATGTTATTGTGAAACTTGTATTCTTAAAATTGAATAATATTTTTTCTATAATCAACATGGAAAATATGTTGTAAAATGTTTTGGATACTTTTATCGGGATATGAGATTTATGTCCCCCCTCACCCTCTTCCTCTTTACCAACAGGTAAAGTCAATCCCTATATAACCACCACCACATTCACCGTTCACCACCATCTCCACCATCATCGTATTCATATCAAACTCTCCACCTTTTCGCCATTAATACCGATCGACTATCACATCATCGTCATTATTCACTCATCACCACTACAACTAATTAAAAAAACACAATGCAATATCAAGCAGCAGCTGCAGCGGAGTCATGGAGGAGTACCCCCACCACCGGTTATTACTGCAACTACATGGCTGTAAGGCACCACCCCACGGTGGCATTTGATCCGTTAGAGAGGGTGGCAAAGCTGGCGTCACAAAGTGCGGTGGTAATATTCAGTCTGAGCACCTGCTGTATGTGCTACGCTGTGAAGAGCCTCTTCTCCGGGATGGGTGTGAACCCGACTGTTTACGAGCTCGATGAGGATCCCATCAGAGGGAGAGAGATAGAGAAGGCTCTGGTGAGACTTCTGGGCAACTCCACGGCGGTTCCGGTGGTGTTTATCGGCGGGAAACTAGTGGGGACGATGGATAGAGTGATGGCTGCGCATATCAATGGGACACTTGTGCCACTTCTGAAGAAAGCAGGAGCCCTTTGGCTATGAATAATTAGTTTACTCGTTTCTTTATTATGTAATGCAAAATTAGTTAAGTAGATTTTAGAAAACTTAATTGAAAAATTGATTAGTCATGTCTTACATTCAACAGCATTTTCAAGAGCCTGTTAGAGAATCCAATCTTTTAAAGATGGTTTTATTATTGTTTTCACTTGTGACTTGTGAGTGATATAACTTATAAGATTTCTAAACACAAGTTGTACTCAAACATCAACAAGCGATGCAATATAGTCGCTTGAAGAAGATTTGGCGTAATCTAATGAATGTAATGATTAATATCGAATCTAACCGTTGAAATGTTTGTTGAAGGAATTTAATTTTATAATTTTTAATAAAGTAGTTGTTCATTCTATAAATATGATGAAAAACCTAACAGTCAATCATTGTCCGGTAATCTTCAATACATTTAACTTTTTCAAATCAAAAGTTAATGGATTGATAGATCCAATTTTGTATTTTCAATTTTGCCCTTTTAACTTCTACTCTTTCTAAATTGTCACAATTTTTTTTAACACTTATCATCTAAAAAAAACCTTTTTAAAGTATTCTAAACTCAATTTGGGGAAAACATTATAAAAATATTAGTACACTCTTATTAGCATCAAAATATTCACAAAAACATCATTAAAAAGGTAAACAATATAAATAGATGCAGTATATGATATCAAACAAATCCTAGGAACCTTAAGTTTTCTATAGTATGATATCAAACAAATCCTAGGAACCTTAAGTTTTCTATAGCCTGCAAAGTGGATATCCCTTTTTTTTAAAGGACTCCCAAGATTAATCTCCAAAGAGATAGGACATGTTTGGTAAAAGTAACTGTTAGCTGGAAATGAGTAGTGGGTAGCGTATAGCCGATAGCTGATAGTGAGAAGCTGTAACTTTTATTTGTTATATGGTGTTTTGTAAAAGTAACTGAAAGTTTTTGAAATATATAAAATTATATAAAAGGACAATCGATTAAAAATAAATAAATATATAAATATACTTTTAAGGGTAATTATGAAAATTGATTTCAAAAGCTTAGTAGCGTTTTGTTAAACGTTATATGAAGTAGCTTTTAGATTTGGAACGTTTTATTTAAAATAAAAGTTAAACGTTCGTACTACCAAACGAAGTTTTTTGTTTAAAGTAGAGCGTTTTGTCAAAATATAAAAGTTAGAAGCTCCCAAACGCTTCCAAAAGTTCCCTACCAAACACGCCCATAATGGTGAAATAAAGAACTCATGTGTAATTAGCACATAACATCTTACACGTAGAGGCATCAGCGTCATTTCTTCTAATACCAGCTTGCATGTTGTAGGATCAGGTCCCTTAATAACACACACAACGCACACTACTTACGTATTATGTATAGAAAACTAAGCGTTGCAAGGAAATGGAAAAGCTTCATGTATTTAATAAACAAAGGGCTATAAATAGCCTTACATACACTCCCAAAAAACAATAAAATAAGCAATCGTGGGAGTAGAAGATATGGAATAAAATACTACCTAGTTAGTTATTGCTACCTAAAGGATCGGTTCATGGATTGACTCACATTCTTAAACCAATGTGCACCTTATGAATTAGTCAATTAACCTCAACTTACACTTCCTTATTCACCTTGTGCATAAAGAAAATACTTGACCCAAGTGAACTATTCAACTGCATACTTGTTGACCCGTGACCTGCATGATCCGCGAACAAACTGATTAACCCAACAATCACCCACTTAGTCAGTTGTTCACACCATTCACTCACAGCAACGTTGAATCACTATCTTCTCGAACCATCCCGACTTTTCCTGGAACCATGACCTTCACCTTGGTCAGGTCCAAAGTCCTCCATACATGGTTGTTGTTTGTCACCACACAGAACATGTTTGCACATAACACTTCTATGAAACGAGAGCATTATTCCACCAATCAAGAAAACAAAGCGACCTGCTACTACCGTTTTCTTTCCCGTGCCAAAAGAACCGATTCAATGTCACCTGTATTGAAGTCTCTCCGTCCTTTTTCCTTCACAAAATGGTTAATCTCTCTATTTTCTGGTGACCAACCGACAACCTACCATCGAGCTTGCCTTAAATACCATATATACTTCCTTTTGATCACAACTAACAACTACAGACCGACTATTTTCATCACGAGTCACCTCCGTTGTCTCGAACGATACTTCACGTCTTCCTACGACAACGGTTGACCTGATGAAACTTTAACTTCTCAGACGAGTCCCAAAATGGGCCCCCGCTATTGCTCCCCGTAGGAAAAAATCGGTGACAAACAAACCTTGGTTCTAATTTTAACCTCCGAAATAGTTATCGATCCGCTGCTTCTGCTACTCTCACAGCCCTGCAGTCAGAGTCTCCTTCCTCCTTCAAAATTCGACTCTTAAACTGGCCCTATTCAACCTTCGCTCTGATACCAATTGCAGGATCAGGTCCATTAATAACGCACACTACTCACGTATTATGTATGGGAAACTAATGTTGCAAGGAAATGGAAAAGCTTCATATATTCAACAAACAAAGGGCTACAAATATCCTTACATTGACTCCTAAAAACCAACATAATACGCAATCGTGGGAACAGAAAATAAGGATTAATAAAATACTACCTAGTTAGTCATTGCTACCTAAAGAACTGGTACATGGATTGACTTACATTCTTAAACCAACCTAGTTAGTTATTGCTACCTAAAGAACTGGTACATGGACTGACTTACATTCTTAAACCAACGTGCACCTTATGAATTAGTCAATTAACCTCAACTTGCACTTCCTTGTGCATAAAGAAAATACTTGACCCAAAAGACATCTCCAACTGCATATCTGTTGACCCGTGACCCGCATGATACACGAAGAAATCGATTAACCCAACAATACATGTGACCATCACACACAAACCATATGAAAGGTTTTCAAAATTCAACACACCATGAAAGAATTCTAAAATGTCATTCATAAATCAATTTTAAGGTCTCGGTGTCCTAATTTACTATATGTGTCTAGACCACACTAGTCTCACAGCTTACCTACTGTATGGATGCATACTATCATAGTATCATGATTTAAGAACACAAAATGTCTTAAAACATTAAGTAAATAATTGAAAGGTATCCATACTTTAATAATCTTTCTCTAAAAGACTTAAAATATTATGTGGATATTTAAAAGACACCATCATCACAAAAACTACTTTTTCAAAAATTTACATATAGTGAATGCAAAAAAATAAATAAATAAATAATACTACATGTATTATTCTAAGCAAGATATACATATAGTATTTCAAAAAAATATTAAAGTCAGTTCTCATATTTGGGATGTTATTCCATTGTTTAAGTGGATTGTAATCAACTTCGTTAATTTAAACACCAAAACTCCTTAACTAACACATGAGTGAATATAAAGCACTTGACTCCAAAACCAAACACAAATGAATCAATAAATACACCATATACTTTTAATTGCAAGTAAAAAATTGGTGATCCTCCATTGATGGTACTTGTAACATCTTCATATTAGGCCTAGAAGTTTTTGGGTCGGTTTAGTAAAATATTAAAATTTTGTTGGAAAATAAAATATAAATATAAATATAATAAAAAGATAGAAATCAATAAAACAACTAATTATTAGTAATTTTAAAGAATATAGGTGATTAGGGGATCAAACTGAAAGTTTAAAAGAAATTAGAATTAAAATAGGCTCAAAGTTGCCAAGTTTCATAAATTTAAGTATAACCTTAATTTAATGAATTGTTGGGATTTTATATGTTAGTAAAATCATCTTTAAAAGTATAAGTCGAAATCCCTAGATTAGAAATGATAGTAGATATCCTTTGTGAAAATAATTAAGGGACCAAATATGAAAAATCTAATAAACTTAACTTTGACCTCATATTGACTTGTAAGAGAATGAAAATGTTAGGAATGTTGGTGGGAAGAGTTACGAATGTAAATTAAGGAAGACTATGTAACTAGTTATATCAAGTGGTGGTAAAATTTAGAACTAAAACACTTGAGGGTAAAAAATATAAATATAGAATATAAGAACTTCAAACACACTTCCTTTTTAATTCATTCTCTCTCAAATGAATCAACGAGATGTGAGTGTTTATTGGATATTTCAAGGAACTAGAGGTTAAGAGAAGAGAGATTCAAGTAGAGTTTGAGGATTTTAGCTCCATTCCTCCATAATAGTCTTTGAAGATAGATATCTTTTACTATCTCTTCAATTTTATTTTTAAGGCTTTGATAATCATTTTCAAATACAAATTCCATGAGTTATTAATGATTAAATGATTTTCTAGTTTTGAATCACTTCATTGTTTATTATATAATCCACTATTTCCATTATAGTGGTGTAGTATAGAGTTTGATGGAGTTTTCCAACCATAACTCCTATGGAATTTGAGATTCAAGAATGAATATGAGTTTTAAAGTTTGATTCAATCACTAGAACGACAAAGTAATCATCATTTCATCCATGGAATGATTGATTCCATCCTTCATGATGAATTTAGGGAGAATTGTAATAATAGCTTGTGGGATTAGTGATTGTTTTGGTATAAGTGTCAAATGTCATAACTAAATTGGTCAAGGTCATGACTAAATTATATAAATTTATGGAATAAAAGTAAAGTTTTTTTTGGGTTGTCCTCAAAAGCTAGAAATAACTTGAAATGACTTTAGGAGAGAGAGAGAGAGAGAGAGAGAGAGAGAGAGAGAAAGAAAGAAAGAAATTATTTATTAATTTATTATGTGATTAAAAGGTTAATTAGAAATAGTTAATAATTAATTATTAATTAATTGGAGATAGTCAGAATTAATTAATTATTATTCAGAATTAATCTGGAATTAATTCTATATGAATTTGAATTAATTAAAAGTGCAAGAGGTTAATTGTTATTCTTCAATTATTGAACAAAAGAAGCAAGTCTAGAACCATCCACGGTATGGATGGTTCTGGGAGCCTCTTTAGGGTTTCCAGAAGCTTCTTG